CCATGTAACTCAATCTCAAGCTTCTTCTTAGCTTTCTCCGATTCTGCAGCGTCCAATGCTTGTTGAAGCATTGTTGATCTTTGCTCCGATGGATTCTTGTTCTCTCTGCTTTGCCTGTAATACAAGAATGCAAGACAATCTCCAGGTAAATTGTAATCGAAATCCAACCATCCAACATCTCCACGCCGGTTAGGGTAATCTTTAATAGCTCTCGCCAAATCTTGAGCTTTTTTCGAATCGAAACTCCGATCGATGATATACGTAGCGGCGGAGACTCGCTGCGTTGTGCTTAAGAGTCGGATTTCGTATAGAAGCTCTGCACCGCCGGTGTCGAAAGCCGAAATTAGCTCCGGTTCGTGGAGTGATTGGACGATTGAGTCGCGGACTTGCGCACCGACGATTAAACGGTTCTGTTCGATGCTTGAGATTCCGGTGAGTTCTTCGATGTTTGGTGGAGTTAGACCATCGGAGTAAAGGGAAGAGATGAGTGGTGCGTATTCAAACCAGAGAGCTAATCGACCAGCGAGGATTTCGATTTTACCGGCGGAATCGAGTGAACGGAATTGGGTTGGTACAGGAGATGACGGCGGTCGGAATGGCTGGTAGAGTTGTTGTCGCGGTGGTGGGTTTTTGGGTATCATGTTTTCTTGTGATCGCCGGGAAGCGGAGACGGTGACGGTACGGGTAATCGGGTTAGTGGATAATCCATGGGTTGTGGATTGTGTGAATGGTGAGAAGATTGAGGATTTGAGAATGGTTGCAGTGAGAGAAAGCATTGTGAGAGAGAGAGGTGTGTTGCAGAAGTGAAGACGACAATGGTTTATTTGCCTTATCTTGAGTAAACCAAAATCTCGTAACCTGAATTTAAACCGGATTTGCTATAAAGTTCGCATATTCGTTCTAGATTTTTTCCTCCGGTATACTTTTGTCTTATATATTTCTCTTTTCTTGGAGTAAATGATAAAAAGAAATACTCTAAAATGGGCCCGGAATTTGATAGAACTAGCCCAAAATATTCAGAGCTCGATTAAATGGGCCCAACAAAATAAATTACATTTTTGGATTGCCAACAACAATAACCCCATGAATTTTGGGGGTAACTAATAACACTTGATCGAATTCAGATTTTAAACGTAACTGACACTCAAACGATCTCAAAATCATTTTTATTCCAAATTCGTTACAAAATGTTTTTCAAGAAACTTTCTCTAATGCCAATACCGTAGGATTGCTAAAACTCATCTACGTTTGACTATTTCGACTCGAGCATATACACACTGTTACTTATTACCACTCTAATTTCTAATCATGAGAGCTTCAATTTCAATTGCTTTGTAGGTTTCCAACGTTCATCATCCATGAATGACCTGCAATTCACCATTCATGTTATTCATATTAACGATTTGATTTTTTTTTTTTTTTTGAAATTTGAAAACAGAGACGAAGAAGAAGAAGACTTACGAAGAGCATCTTCAGCTGAAAATCTCCGAGAAACATCACGACAAATCATTTTCCTCAATAGATCCTTCGCTTCTGCTGATACCGATCCGAATTTCTTCGGCGGAAACCTCAAATTCCCTCTCAAAATCGATTCAAAGATCTGTTCCGCCGACTCGCCGTTAAACGGCGGTTCTCCGGCTAACATAGTGTAGATCACAACACCAGCGCTCCATATATCAACCTTCTCGTTGTATCTCCTCCCCATCACAACCTCCGGCGCTACGTAATATGGTGTCCCAACAACTCCCTCCGCCGTCTCTGTTTTCTCTCCTCCGCCTAACCAAACCGCAGATCCAAAATCGCAGAGCTTAACACCGCCGCTTCCGAGATCGACTAAAACGTTATCCGATTTCACATCACGGTGGACAACGCGGCACCGGTGACAATGAGCCAAAGCGCGGAGGATCTGTCTCGCGTACGAAGCGGCTTCTGATTCTGATAATCTTCCTCCGGCGGAGATTA